AAAACACTAGCTCCAAGGATGGGTGTTAATAAAGTTAAGGGTTGAACTAAAACATATGAAATGTATCTTTAAGAAATGGGGTTATACCTATTTCACTGAAAATATGTGACCATAAACCTAAATAAAAACAGTGAGATCGGGGCGCCTGGGTGGCTCAGTCGTTAAGCATCTGCCTTTGGCTCAGGTCATGATCCCAGGGTCCTGGGATCGAGCCCCACGTCTGGCTCTTGGCTCGGCTGGGAGCCTGCTTCTCCCTCTTCCTCTGCCTCTCCCCTGCTCATGCTCTCTCTCTCTCTGTATCTCTCTGTCTCAGATGAAAAAAAAACAAAAACAAAAAACAAACAGTGAGATCCCCCAGCCCAAAATACATTGTCAACGATACTCCCCTAATCATATTGCAATTAGCTATAAAATTTTTAGAAAGAAAAATACTAAAATATGAAAATCTGGAGGAAACAAATTTTTGTTAAAGATTTTATTTATTTATTTGATAGAGAGAGAGAGACAGCAAGCACAAGTAGGCAGAGTGGCAGGCAGAGGGAGAGGAGAAGCAAACTCCCCACTGAACAGGAAGCCCAACCTGGGACTCGATCCCAGGACCCTGAGATCATGACCTGAGTCGAAGGCAGGCACTTAATGACTGAGCCACCCAGGCACCCCTGGAGGAAATAAAATTATTAGAAAACTATGAGTGTCCATCCAGCAAAATTGCTTGTAATTAGCATGTCTTATTCATCTCAGCAAAGATAAGTGTAAATCTTTTTCACTTGTACATTTGGCGGGGGGGTGGGGGGGGGCAGACAGGCTTTAAAGTTAAATTATAGAAAGTTCACAGTGAGTGACTGATTAAACAGAAGATTTTCCTAAAAATATTTGTCATTCCAATATACTAGGATAAAGAACCTTAAGACTAAAAATTTTGAGTGCTCAGTATAGAAATGAATCACAATAAACATATAAGCTTGAACTTAGATGTCCTACACGACCCAATGCTTTGGAATGGTTTTTGCTCAACAGGCCTAAAAGTACAAATTCATTTTTGACTCTAAAACAATAATTTTTTTTAAGAACTAATCTATTTCTAAAATAAAATGATTGGAAGTTAAATATAATTAGGGATGCTATTTAAATTCTATGAGTATGCCAAAAGTTACACATTTGTACCTGCCTGTTTACACAATCTGAAAAGAGATAAAGTTATGAACTTTAACATTTCAATAAAGCCATGTTATATTTTCAGGGTGCCTGGGTGGCTCAGTCAGTTAAGCGTCTGCCTTCGGCTCAGGTCATGATCTCAGGGTCCTGGGATCAAGCCCCACATCTGGCTCCCTGCTTGGTGGAGAGTCTGCTTCTCCTTCTCCCTCTGCTCGTGCTCTTTCTCACTTGCTCACTCTCTCTCTCAAATAAATAAATAAAACATCTTTTAAAAAAAAAAGCCACGTTCTATTTTCATTCAGGTTTTCTAGTGTTATCAATAGAAATATCTATCTGTGGTATACATAGGTAACTTCTCTACGTAAATGCCTGTGCTCTTTTAACAAAGATAAGTGGAAAGTAAATGGGAGCAGGAAGACTTGAAGGTAGGGACTAGAAGACAGAACAGGTAAAGAGCTAAGGCCAAGTTTGTGGACTGTTGTCTGGTTCCTATTAATAAAGGGCAGCCCAGCTCACCTATGTCCATACATGAAAAATTAAGTGGATCATTGAGATGATGTTTACATAATTCATGTTAGAAAATACTTGGACCCTCCTCTTCCCCTAAGAGGCCTGAGGTGACCTCTGAAAATGCTTGTCCTCGAAACCCCTACAATATCATACAAATCAAGAGGTTCAAATCTGCGTGTTCACTTTAGGAACACACGTGAAACTGCCCAGGCCATCAAGGGTATGCATATCCGAAAAGCCACCAAGTATCTGAAGGATGTCACTTTGCAGAAGCAGTGTGTGCCATTCTGTCGCTACAAAGGTGGAGTTGGTAGGTGTGCCCAGGCCAAACAGTGGGGCTGGACACAGGGCTGGTGGCCCAAGAAAAGTGCTGAATTTTTACTGCACATGCTTAAAAATGCAGAGAGTAATGCTGAACTTAAGGGTTTAGATGTTGATTCTCTGGTCATTGAGCACATCCGGGTGAACAAAGTCCCCAAGATGCAGCATAGAACGTACAGGGCTCATGGCTGGATTAACCCACACATGAGCTCTCCTTGCCACACCTAGATGATCCTTACTGAAAAAGAGCTGGTTGTTCCTAAACCAGAAGAGGAGGTTGCACAGAAGAAAAAGATATCTCAGAAGAGACTGAAGAAACAAAAACTTATGGGCCGGGAGTAAATTCTGCATAGGATAAATGCAAATAAGAATAAAAAGAGAATGTTGGTTATCTATTATTAAACATATTTCAAGTATCCTCAAAAGAAAAAAAAATACTTGTACCTAAAATATCCAGATCACTGAAGCAAAGATGAATTCTTGAATTAACTGAATAGTGCCATACTCCTTCATTTTGCTTTGTTGGCTAAAGACTGACTAGATGGTTATTTTATGCCTTCCTAAGTATTTCTAAAAGTCTCCATCCCTCACCTCCAACCCCACAGCTTTTCCACTGTCTAACTTGAAAGAATCTTCTTTCAAGAAGTATGCAAAGCAACTCTTAGATCTGGAGTGGGTTCAGACACTGGAGTTAAATGACAATGTGATCCTGATACCCTAAGAATTATCATCATCTAACATTAAAAGCAACAAGCAACAAGCCTTCACAAAATTCAACCTTCAATTTAACAAAAGGCCCTATGTAAAAATTTTATCATCATATACTATTTATAACTAATGCAAATATAGGGATGGATAATATGATCATAAAATAATTTCCATTATCCCTGGGAATCCTAAAACACCAAGGACTGCACGAAAATACATCTTTTCTAAAAAGATACATAAAAGTTCAGATCATAGTTACCACACATTTCATTTTCTAACACCATAACATAGATCATATTTTTCTTCTCTGTACATTTTCTCAGCCTTCTCATTCTTAACCTAGTGCTATTAGGCCAATATCCCAGTGCTCTTTAAAATTTATTCAATGACATGCTAAATTCCTCACACTTAGGACTTTTCAATCCTAAAACTAATATGAACTGTGATTCCCCAAAGTGGCAAGAAACATGAGTATTATGTGGACATAGTATTTTCCTAGATAGCTGACCAAATCTGTAGTTGCTGTGGTGGCACTGATTAAATGAGACTCTGGCCTTTCCTGTTTCAGGAGAGCAGACTGCACTATTCTCCAGCCATTTTTCTTATAAACGAATATAGCAGATTTCAAGGATTTTAGGGATCCATTCAGAACAATTGTCACTACATGAGAAACAACAGCTTAATACTCTGCCTGCATTTTAAAAGTTTGACATGCCTTATGATGCTATATTTTGAGTAAAATACTAAGTCAGGCTTATAATGTTCTTAAATACAGAAACTGTACCTCATGTTACTTTCTGAGCCTCACATATAACAATGTACAATTCCTTTTAAATAGTGTTTCTTCTAATTTTTGTCTTAGTAATAACAAATTTGCGGATAAAAAGGCTTTCTTGGGTAGTATTTAATCTTAAAAATTCCTACACTATCCTGTAGACCCTAAAATACAGAACACAAAATGTAAACAATAAAAGCCTTATAACCAATAAATACCTCAGTGGGGGTAGTGGAGAAAGTCAGAAAAATATACAAAGCATTGAAAGGCTGGATACGTGAAGGATGCCAGAGGGGAGCAGGGGAGGGCTTGACGAGGTTCTAGGCAAGCCCTGTGATGACGTCACCTCACAGCCATAATGTTACAGCAGTCAGCACAGGCCTCCTCTTTTCCTATTGGTGAACAGCCTGTCAGCCGACATCAGAAGATAATCATCATTGGCCAGACAATTACAACTGGAGCGACTAACTAGCATCCACCGCTGTTAGCACGAACCTGGCAGGCTGCTGAAAGAGAAGGCAGAGCCCAGCTGCCTTTCTCACTCAGTGAATTTTATGTCACCTTGCCTGACCAGTCACTATGTGATTTCGCTTCCTGGCTAGCAGCACTTATAAATTAAGTCAGCTATTAGTGGCCATAACAGGTCAAGGCGAGACATCTCCTTAAGGGACAAAATGCCTTTCTTTTCAATGTTGTAAAATCACAGACAGGGCTTTTCAGTGTAAAATTGGAAGTCAAAAATGCTACTGAGCTAGAAGCAAGCATTTTTTCTCTACCTCTACCTCATCTAATAAAGTCCTATTTACCGGATAACATTACCGGAGATATTTTTAACTTGCCGTGTAGTTTCAAGATGAGGTCTCAGGAGGATTCTCCAAGGAAATATATTTATGACTTTGCATTCATTTCAACTGTTGCTCTATTATACATGAAACTATTTGCTAGAAAATTAAAAAGGTCTATGTACCTATCCTGTGTTTAGAACAATGAGTATAGGGTTAATCATTTAAGGCAGCAATAAGCCTGATAAACTTGCCACAGTTGAACACTTTAGTGTTTACACAAATACCACTCCAAAATAAGGGGACCATAACGTTTATATGTAATAAGGTAATGAATATGGAATATAGGATATGGCTAATAAACTACTCTTATTTAAGGTTCTCTTAAATAATGCTACGGAGCGCACAGACAGCATACGGACAAAACAACACTCCTGGCCTTTCTCACAATTCTTCAAAGGACCGGGTAGCTCTTTTTTGAGAGAGAAGTTATAATTCTCTACATTAACAAGCTTTGTTTGAGGCCCTAAGACATTCTTAAGGACAAGTGCAAATGACTGCTCAAAAGACAGAGTAGATGCTTCACAATATTGTGTTTGTCGCCCAGAAGCTATTTCAAACCATTTTGTAAAGGTAAAGCTTTGGTTTCCTAAACTTCCCCTGCCCCCAAGAGGGTTTAAGCCTTGGTTAAGGAGCTCCCTACTCCTGTTAAGAAGGGAAAGAAAAAAGAAAATCGTTTTCTTACGCACCTTGGTCGAGACTTTTTGCTGTTGGGATTTTGGTGGGGAAGGCTTAGAAAATTGGACCCCCAGGATACCGGGAGAGATGCACCCCCTCTGGAATAGGGGATAAAAAGGAGAAAGCAAGACAATTAAGGTCGGGGAGACCTGCAAGGAAAGAGAAACAGCCAGTAGAGCTTTTTGACTGCAAAAGGCAAGCTAAAAAAATAGGGTCAACAAAGAAAAAGTCAGGAAGGGAAAAATCCCAGTACGTGCCTATGACATAGCATTCAAACTCAGGGGGAGGCCAAATATGTTAAACTTCAGGTATTAACAGGTAGACCTGGCAATAAAATGGGCACCAATAATCATTTTAACTCACTGGATAAGCATCTTCCCCAGCATCTGCCATGTACAAAGCTCTCTTCAGCGTGCTCCGAATGAGACAAGAACCATGCCCTAAAGAGCTGACGGTCTGGAAGGAAGGAGGCACCGGCAGACATGTAAAAATTCATGCATATAAATAAAAGCTAGGAAAGATGTTGCCAGAAGAACGGTCCCTAAAGAACTAGAAGGAATACAGTGATGAGAGCTCAACAGGAGAAAAGAACTTGGCGCATTTTTGCCATTTTCGGTGCCGGTGAGGGCAAGGCCCTGTCTGGCTCATTGTGTACTTGTTGAGTGAATGCATAAAAGAGGCGGGAAACGGTTACCTGGCCTCAGAGAAAAGGCAACCGGTAAAGAAGAGGCACTATCGATCGCGGCGGTGCAAGGGAGGGTTGGCCGACCGTGAATGGGGGCAGCCAAGGCGAGGGGACGCCGGCTCCAGAAAGGCAGGTTCAATAAAGGTGCACCAAGCTGAAGACAAGGGAGGCTAGAAAACAGCACACAGCGCTCATGGGGGAAGAAGATGGGCTCGAGTGGGGTGGCAAGAGAACCGGACAAACAGCTGCAGAGATCCGGCCGCTCAGGGGGCCCGCCTGGCAGCCCCGAGCGCCCGCGGCCTCGGGCCCCCGCCCCCGCCCCGCCTTCAGCACCACCCTCTAGGCGGGAGGAGGAAGTGCCTCCGGAGAAGGTCCCCAGGCCGCAGGGCCCCGAGAGGGGTCGGCCTCCCCAGGCGCCAAAGGCCTTTCAATGTCTGCACTCCCACGGGATCGGGCCTCGAGGTGTACCACCACCTTCCGGACCCACCCTCGGCGCTCGCCGAACCCAGGAGGGGCCCCAGCCCCGCGCCCCAAGTGCCCGCCGCACTTCCAGGCTTCGGAGCGGATCGCGTCCGCCTGCTGGCTTCCGGCTCCGGCCAGACGCGGCTCTCGGGCCCCCAAACGCCCCGCACCCAGTGCAGTCCCCAGCCCAGCCGCAGCGGGCGTGAGCGCGCCGTGCCCTCCGCCCCCGCCCCCAAGAGGCCGGGCCCAGCCCGCGCGCAGCGCGCAGGGGGCGGGCTCGGCCGGGCTACAGCCGCAGAGGGCCAGCGGGCCTCGGGCGGGCCAGCGGGACGGGAGGAGGCAGGCGCCGCGGCCAAGCCTTCAAGGGCCAGTCACAACTCCTGGGGACCGGAGGAAAGGAAGTTGAACCTCCCTCCACCAGCTCCGGCCCGCGGCACCCCCTCCTACCGTACCAGCCAGCCCCGGCCCCCCGCGCGCCCGCGTCTTTGGTTTCCCATTGATGAGAGGGGGGAGGGAAGGCAGGTCGTGACGGCGCGGGGCACGCGCGCTCGCGCACGCGGCGGCGGGCAGGATCCCTTGGCTCCGGAGAGCCCCTCAGTCCGACCCTCCCATCGAGCACCCAGGAGGCTGCAGGCCACTGCCCAGCTCCGGGGTGCGTTGAGCGTGCACTTTACTGATCGCCAGACCCGGGCTTAAGGAGAGGACCGGCATGTCTGCCACGGCAGCTCGGTCTACAAGAAGAGAGATGGGCACACCCTCCCCTGTTAAATATTGCAAGGTGACACAGGATCGCCTCCCACACAGGGATTTTCAAAAGGACTGGCGGAGGGAACACACTAAACAAGCAAAACTCTTTCCCTATTAGAAGTTTGGGGAAGAGCCCCCAAGGACTCTGCAGACCGAGGGATTTTTGATCTCTGTCTCAACTCCAATCAACGGCTTCCTACTGAATTAGAACTGAGTGTGTCCAAAAGGCGTTTCCGTAAAACAGAAACTTAATAATGGCGTGGCTCCACTTGCTCGGGTTCATTCATTTTTATTACTGTTTTCATTGTCCCCTCCCCCTCCGCCCCCGCCTCTTAATGAAACCGGAAAGGGATCCGCGTGGGGAAAGGGGTCCAGGAAAGGAGAAATCCGGCCGGGGAGCAGCCGAGAGTAGGGCAATGAAGTAGGAGGGCTGCAAGGAGAAAGGAAGGACACGGGGGATGGAGAGAGGGCGAGGACCAGAGAGCGCAGGCGGGAGAGGGTTAAATGGAGCAGAAGCCTGGGTCCTTCCTCCACTGCCTTTCACACTCAGCTTGCGGGAGGCCAAGCTAGAAAACCCAAATCTAGATGAAAATCAGAAGGTAGCACAGGTAGGGAATCTGGACTGTAGCATCTCTCCCGCCTTCCGTGTCGCGCAGACATCTACTCTATATACTCATGTATGTTCTATGTTATATAATCTATGTTAAAGATGTATGTGTAGCCACGGTTCACACAGGGGCACTCACAGACCCACGCGCTTCATGCAGCCCCAGTGGTTCCTGCACCCGGGAGACCCGGGAACTCAGCGACCAGCTTCTCTGCTGCCTGCGATTCATCGCTCCATTCACGCCCCAGACAGAAAACACCGACATTAAGGCACAGCGGGAAGACGCGCAGGGCTCCCGGGAAGAGTATCACGCGAAACCATCACCTACCAGTTTTCCTGCATCCACTGGATGGCTTCATTCTCGTTGAACTGCTTTTCGAATTCATATTCTTGTAAAGTCAACACTGACATGTTCATTGGGGCTGATCTTCGGAGTCGCTATGTGTTCTCTACACAAAATAAAATAATCTGTAAAGCGCTTGATTTCGAATGCTCTCCTGTTTTCCCCACCCACCCCCCTAGGTCTTCCCCCGGCGGCTGGATCTCCGCGGGCCGGCCTCTCCCAGCCTCTCTCAGCTACATCCAGGGTTGAGCATTGCCTGTGCCACGGCTCCCAGGTCCTCGCTTCGGCGCTCTCCTCCTCCCGGCGTCCGCATCCACCGGCGGAGGAAATGAATGCCTTGCGGTCTTAGTGCCCGCACGTCTGTCCATCACCCTTTTTACTTGTCTACAGGGAAATCTCCTCCCCCTCGTGCGATCAGAAAATTAACCCTTTGCGAGAGAGAGAAAGCGAGACCTCTCGCCCTGAAGGGCAGTTTTGCTGACGCGAAGGTGACTAGGGGAGTGGAGGAAGGGTGACGAGAAGGAGGAAGCGGCCTCGAGGTCATTCACAATCCCCAATCCCAACCTCGTGGGCAGCCTAGCCTTGCCTCTGAACGTAGTTTCGGCTTGCCAGGCGCAGCCGTCAGGCGCGCGGACCTGCAAGCTTGGCTAGTAGGCGTTTAAGAAACAGTGAAACCTGCCCGCTCTTTCGCCAGGAGAACTCCAGGCAAATTTGTGCTGCGATCACACGTAAGAGGAACGCGCTTTCCACCTTCTTGCCCCCGCCATACTCTCGGGATCCCCCACCCCAGAGCTATGGCTTTGACTACCGCAAACCTGGGGCCCGGCAGCCCCCAGATCTCCTCGATCACTCGCGGGCTGGGGATGCTGGGGTGAGGAGATGGAAGGTGGAGAGCGACCAGTAGCCGGAAGAGGGAGAGACGCTGCTAGGTGGAGGGTTTGGGTACGGCAAGAGGTAGACTTAACGAACTGAGACAAAGCGGGGGGGGGGGGGGGGAAGGAAGTTAGCAGATAGGAGAACTGGACCAGCTGGTCCAATGCAAAAACTTTATTTATATGTAAATTTTCGTTTTATATATTTCACGGGAAGGTGGAACAGAATCGTGTTGAGGAGAAGGCTAAATGCAATGTTGACCCCTACTGAAACCCCAGTCTCATAGCAGTGTCCTAAACTCAGCTTCTGTTTACACCCCTCCTTATTCTCAGGAGGAAAAGGATTTTCTACTCCGGCCGTCCGTCCCTCCACTCATTACCCACAGGTTCGGAAAAAATGAGGTATAGGAGACATGGAGTTACCTAATAATTAATTTATGGATGTAATTGCAAGCCCCATATAATAAGGAACCTCTGCTTTAAAAATTAGGTGGACATTAGGACCAAGAAGAAAATTCCCTTCCTTACTCCGGTGCTCATTTCCCCACCTCACCTGTAGTCCAAGTAGAGGGTATTTTCATTCAAAGTTAGGTTGCCTGGAAACTATGAAAAGTGGGAACTGGGAGAAATATCTCTGTAAAGGAGGAAGATATAACAAGAAATTAAAGAAAGGGTTTTTTAAATCCAATACAATATTACTTAAAAGGCTAGATTGGTTGATGATTAACAATAACTTGTAAGGTGATCCTCCCAAAAAGATTTCAGGTATAGACTTTCCTTGTCTCTCCATTTCAGGGTTGTCATTCTAGATAATTCTGCAGTACAAGTCAGAATGAATTTAAAAATAAAGGCGAGGTGATATTGACCTAGAAGATGGGTGTGGTCTGATGAGAGAAAGATTTTCTACAGTACCTAGGCCTGTGAGCAATCAATAAATATTTGTAAGATGAATGAGTGATTGATTAAATAAATGAAAGAAGGGAGGGAAGTGAGAAAGGAATCAAATTCCAGCAGACGTTTTACTGTATATTGCAAGGATAAGTCTTTAGTCTTAAAAAGATTTGATTTTCAAATTCAGTGCCCTTACGAGTCATCACACCAATTTCCAACCAATATGAAACATTCTCATTTACTCTGTTTCTCACTCAAATAATGGTTGTTATTGCCTGTTTATTTTTCAAAGATGGATATGAGGTTATGTTAAAATATCTGATTTGTTCTTAACACTGTCTAAAGAAAAATTACTCTGACATGGGAGATATGTCCCTATTTTTGATCTTTAAAATGGACAACTACAAAAAATGATAAATGCTTGGTAGTACTAAGTGCTTCCAAGGGTAGTCAGGCACTGCCAGTGGCAGTAAAAACCGGTGACCATCCCAAAAGCAATTTGGCCACCTATTTGGTCATTTTAAACCCATTTACCCTCTAACCATTTATTCACCAGATATGAGCTCTTGAGACTCAGTGGAGAAGAAATGAGATAGGGCTCTTGCTCTTTTGGAGCTCACATTTCAGAGGGCAAGACAAAATAATTTCGTACAGAGTGAAGCGCTAGAATGAAAATTAATCAGGGGCACCTGGGTGGCTCAGTCGTTAGGCATCGGCCTTTGGCTTAGGTCATGATCTCAGGGTCCTGGGATCGAGCCCCGCATCGGGCTCCCTGCTCCACGGGAAGCCTACTTCTCCCTCTCCCACTCCCCCTGCTTATGTTCTCTCTCGTGCTGTGTCTCTCTGTCAAATAAATAAATAAATAAAATCTTACAAAAAAAAAAAAGCCTCAGACTCTTGGTTTCAGCTCAGGTAGTGAGTGATCTTAGGATCATGAGATCCAGCCCCCAAACAGACTCTAGGCTTAGCAGAGTCTGCCTAAGACTGTCTCTTCCGGGGGCTCCTGAGTGGCTCAGTCAGTCATGATCTCAGGGTCCAGGGATTGAGCCCCACATCGGCTACCTGCTCAGCAGGGAGTCTGCTTCTCCCTCTGACCCACGCTCATCTCGTGCTCTGTCTCAAATAAACAAATAAAATCTTAAAAAAAAAAAGACTGTCTCTCCCCTGCCCCTCCCTCCCGGCCTGCTAACGGCCCCCCCCGCCCCCCATGCCTGTACACATACACACTCTCTCTCTCTCTCAAAAATGAATAAATCTTAAAAAAAAAAAAGAAGGAAAAAAAGAAAATCAGTATGACGGTAAGGGATAGAAGTGCTCATTTAAGCCCTTTTAGGCCTCACAGA